ATTAGTAATCCTGGGGAACGCAAAGGAAGAGAAAAAAAATATATATGTCACCTCATTTTGTTATTCCCACACTCCATTACTTCACAGACAGACAACAAATTCATAGTATAGAAAGCTTGTTTTTAATAATGAGCTTGTTCTTACTGTTGCAGTGGTGGTTTGTATTGTATTCTACAATATCTTAAGAAGGCATCGTTACACTTGGGAATAACTTGACCTACGCTGTCTCACTACGTTGAAGTGACATGTTAATGATTTAAAAATTGAGCATCAGTGGTGTAGACATGAAAATCAATTATGAAAAAGAGCTAACCAAGTGACTAAGTTTTGCCTGTGGAGGGGTTGGTGTGCAGGCTAATCTAACCTATAAGTTGCTAGCATACATAATGTTAGCCTACTGATACCACTCGTTTTATTAACTTGTCACTGGTTATATTCAGAACTATAAGGAGTTTGAATATGTCATCAAGTTACATAACTGCACTTTTAGGGTTGATGTGCCCAGGAGAAAAAACTCCCGTTTACTTTTGCTGTTTTCAGGCTGTGTTGCTCCAGTTGCAACATCAGTGAAGACTGTGACACACTTGACCTTAGTATTGGGAGACGGGGGGCGGGCCTGCCAAATGAGTAGGTATACCTGACTTGGACTCTGGTTCCAAGTTTGACAACGTGGCAGGAGAAATTTAGTTTCATTTCTGTACAATGGAAGGGCGTTTAGCTACGTCCGTGCTTCCTTACAGTCATTGTGTGGAACCAATATAGTGAGAAAAAATGTTACTCTAGGCCTATTAGAGGTTCTAGGACTGTGAATACCAGTGGCAGTCTAACTGGGTCAGTTGTGACGGGAATCATTTTACGGTACCGGTAAGACTAGAAAGCCAACATGCTACCAGGCCAGTAATTCCCAGAGTGTAAATAGAAAGAAAAAATAATTTTTGGGCTCATCCATTTGGTAGAAGAATGCACTTGTGATCAGTAATGTGAGAGAAATTTGGTGCTCCTACATCATTGTTTGTGACATTAATCTTTTTCATGTTTAAATTCATGACAGTCAATATGCTACAAACTAAAGCAAGCTAAGAAAGTTAAGCATTTCTCACTGCCCACTGGGGCACTGGGTGGAGAAGCATGCCTTGTTTCAGAACCTGAAAGTAAAACTAATTCCTTTTGGCTATTTCTTCCACCATCATCTCTAGTTCTTGTTTGCTAATTTTTTTTAACACTTGGTTTAATGTTTTTTCTTCATTTTGCCGTCCTCTGAGCAGATTAAAATAGATATTGCAAATAAAGGTTAATAGAAATTATGAGATTATTTAGCATATCTCATGTCATTTATGTTAAGCTGTAAAATGTAACATAACATAAGAAAACAATGAAGATTTTTTTAAAGAAAATCTTAAGAAAATCATAAAGATTTCGAGAGTATATCTGAGAACTTTTTAAGGTCTTTTGACAATAAGAACATTCTTGTGAACTTCTTTGTGTTTGTGTTAAGAACCTTTGCAAGTTTTTTATTAAGAAAGCTTTTGTGAATCCTGCCCCAGGCACTGAGGAGTTTCATGCCTCTTAAAGCTTCATCCCACAGAATAATTACATGCAATGGTTATAAATACACTGCCTGATGGTTGAGTCATTGTTTTCTGGTAGCTTTGAGATACAGTTTTGGTCAAAAATGAATTTTAATCTATTTGCTTATTTTATTTATGCTGGAAGCATACATGGAAAATGTTCTAAGGCAGCGTAATTCCCAATGAAAACTCTCTGTCCACAAAGTCATGCTGTTGTAGCACATGCACAATGATTTCTGGCAATATGTTGCTGAAATAGCCATGGAATTCTTTGCAAAAAGATTTCATCTTGATGGCAGCATATGTCTCTCTAAAATCCCAATATACACCTCCACATCAATGGTACCTTCACACATATTGAAGTCACAGTGGCTGTGGGCACTGATGCATGACAGATGTTGGCTTTTGGATCTTTCACTGATAAAAGTCTGGATGACCTTTCATCTTTGGCACTGAGAATGCATTGCCTGTTCTTCCCAAAAACAAGTTCCTCTCTTAACACCTCTTAATCTTTGAATTCAGGAGTTTAATTCAGTCCCATTGCCAAATGTGTATAAAATCATGCACCTAGCCATGCAGTCTGCCTTTACAAACATTTGTGAAAGAATAAGTCGTTCTAAAGAGCTCAGTGAATTAGAGCGTGGTACTGTAATTAGATGCCACTGTTATAACAAGTCAGTTCGTGAAATTTCTTTCCTCCTGCATATTCCACAATCAATTGTGAGTGGTATTATTGAAAAAGGGAAGCATTTAGGAACCACAGCGACTCAGACCATGTAAAGTTACAGAGCAAGGTTGCCAAGTGCTTAATGCTTCAGCAGACCGAGACATTTTGGACAATTGTATGCTTCCAATTTGTGGAAACAGTTTGGGAAATGCCCTTTTCTGTTCCAGCATGACTGAGCCCCAGTGCACAAAGCGAGGTCCATAAAGGCATGGTTGAGATTGATATGGAAAAAATTGACTGGCCGGCACAGAGCCTGGACCTCAACCCCACTGAACACCTTTGAGATGAACTAGAACGGATATTGTAAGCCAGGCCCTCTCGTCCAACATCAGTGTCTGACCTCACAAATGCTCCTCTAGATGAATGGGTAAAAATTCCTACAGAGATGTAGAGGGATAGTGTTCCAGAGTTTTGGAACTGCAACACTTTAATTCTTCTCTCCAAAAGTGTGTAACCTGGAGAGTGAGACAGAAAGCAGTTGGATGTAAGAGAACCAGAGAAAAAACGAAGGCTTTCATATCATCTGCATAGCAATGGAACTGGAGGTCATGCTGATGATCTTGTCAAGTGGAAATATAATGAAAAGTTAAAGGCCAAGAACTGAGCCCTGGGATAAACCATGGGAGAGATGAGATACACTAGACCTGTCAGTATCATATGATCTGAAGTACAGTGTCACAGCGTCACAGGGTGTGTCTCAAAACCTAGTGAGCTCTCTAAGTAGGCAGCATTTTACGTCACAATATGCGCTTCCGACAAGTAGGTTGTCCCAATTCTTAGGTATCTCAAATATGCTGCCTACTGAGGTACCTCATTTTGGCCGAATATCGAGAGAGCATCGGATGCTTCCTCAGCCGCTAAGGCAATCCCGTGATGCAACGTGGCGCAACTGAAAGTTGGAGGATGGCGGATGGAGTCGACGCAGCAAGCAGCGAAGTCATCTTTAAATGTAAGTTATTCTGATTTTCTGTTGTGTTTTATTTGTTTTCTTGTCATAAATCTGTATAAAATAATTTTTGCCATTTATGTCCGTCATTGATCATTTTCCAGTTTTCGGAACACCAAAAAATCCGCTAGCATGCATGCTAACGGATTTTGAAGCATCAGGCTATTGTTTTTCAGTAGCCAGCTGGCTAATAACCACACTGGCTAATAACCACGCTGGCTAACAGCTTTAGCAGGATGTTTTGTCAACCGTTAATGAAGAGGTAGCGCTATCAAATCGTTGATCCGTTTGTGTGTCTTGAAAAATTTGATAGAATTATGGGGGTTATATGGTGCTTTTCTGTAACTTGCTAGCTAACCAGCTATTTAGTTGTCCGTGTTTGCATATACGAGTTGTTTCCACTTTTTCAGGGACCAGATCAGCGCTTGAAGCTTTTATTAAAGTATAGAGAAAGAGAGGCTGTTCACAGGAGAGAAAAACTCTGCGTTGTCAGCTTGGAAGAAAGTAAGTCAGGGTGTTGGTTCACCAGTTAGATCAGGGGTGTCCAATCTTATCCGCAAAGGGCGGCTGTAGGTTAACTAACTGCAGGTTTTCATTGCAAACGTGTAGGAGCTCACCTGATTCCCCTTAATCAGGGCAAACAAATAAACCATGAAAACCTACAGCATTGACTCTTTGCGGAAATCATTGGACATGAATGAGTTGGGCCTGCATGTTTTGAAAAAAAAAAAACTTACAGTATGTTAAGTAGTGTTTTGCTTGTGTGGTAATGCATTCTTCCTAAACTGGTTAAAATTTTAGTTGGAAAATGTTGCTCTTTAATTTATTACCTAGTCCAAAAATAAAAGTCCTAATTTGATTTTGTTTTGCTTGTTGATAGGACTATCCTTGTGGAACTGGGGGCTACAACATAAAAGTGACTCTTCAACAGCCACGAAAAAATGGGACATTTAAAGAAGAAATGCAAGTAAGTTCTAGACAGAGTTGCAGTACATAATTGTGAAAGACTAAGGATTTATCTATTTCAAACCTAGTTCAAATATGAAAGTATTCTTAAGTATTAATTAGCAGGCAAAAAGATAGCAAAGTGAGGTTAGATTAAAAGGTTTTGCATTTATTTTAGGAGCTGAAGTGTCCACCGTCTGGAAGTGGGACAGACAACGGGGAAGCCACTGCAGCCACTTGGCCCTGGTTCAGCCTCATGGACGAGGCTCTTGGTAACCGGCCCTCGATTTCACCACCTCTGCTAATAGCCTCGTCAGATGAGGCGGAACCAGGGCCATCTTCTGCTGTGGCTTCCCCGTTGTCTGAGGAAAGACCAAGGAAGAGGCAAGGAACCCTAATCGACCTCTTGCGAGAGGACATGGAGAGGGAGAGGGAAAGAGAAGAGAGGAGAGAGCGAGCGGAGCAGGAGCGGTCTGACCGCTTGTACGGCCTTCTTGAGAAACTTATTAGCAAGATTAACTAATGCATTTTAAAAATAAAGCTTATTTTATGGAATAATTCTGGATTTTGAATTTTTTTTTAGACATGTTTTAATGTTAATCTTGAAATGCGGTAAACTAATCATAACAGGCTTTCTCTTTGGATGAATTAAGTTATTCTTCAGTGATGACCCCACTAGAAACCCAGTGTATCCTTAAGAATGCTTCATGCTATACCTTTCACAAATTTTAACTTGTAGACTGTTCAATCATTAAGGTCAGTTCTTTATTTTATATCTTGACGTTTTCCTTTAATGACGGTCAATCACAATAACAAAACAATATTTTAATTTGAATCTTAAATAAGAATAATTAAATAAGAAACTATAATGAATTAATAACAGAATTATCCTAAAGCTTTCTTATTTTGAGATTGAAAAACACTTAACTTGTCTGTACACATTTTTACGTTTTAAGCGATTTTAGCAGTGCCAAAAAATTAACACTTCGACTACACATAAACTGCCTAACAAGTAAAAATGTATAGAATATTATTTACCTTCTAACAACAATCAAGACTAGAATTATACATTTAGACTAGATTTAAGATGTCACTTTCAAAGATATTTTTCTCAGTGCCGATATAACATTTGAAAATGTGAATTAACTAATTAAACTCTTTCAGTTCCTGGACCATCAGTGCATGTCAGCGATGGCAGCGCAAAGCTGCTCCTGTAGACGATGACCACTGACTGCATCTGTGACATCTTCCTCCTGCCCATCCTCTTCCTCCTCGCCATCTGCTTCCTCCTCAGGCTGAACAAGGTCTCCTGCTCCCATGCAGATGTTGTGCAGGGTGACACAGGATACAATCATTTGTGGCACAAACTGCTGGTGTACTTCGAGGGCATGCAGGATGATGGACCTCCACCTGGTCTTCAGCATCCCAAAGGCACGTTCAATTACAGAACGTGCTTTTGCATGATGCCTGTTGAAGGTTACCCGCTCTTCCCCTCTTACAGGCTTTTTAAAAGGGGTGATGAGGGCAATTGGATGTGCGATGCAGGGATATCCCCCATCACCAAGGATCATGAAGCCTCTGGGTGGGAATGCTGCCTGCTGGTAGAGAGTACTGTGTCGAAGGACCCTTGCATCATGCACAGATCCAGGGAAGCCTATAAAAGCATCCAGAAACTTTGCCTGATGATCGCATACGGCCTGCATTTGCACAGATGGGTAAAGCTTCCGGTTTCGATAGCACTGTGCATCAGATTATCCTGGTGCTTTAATTCGTACATGGCAGCCATCTATAGCGCCGACTACACATTGGAAAGCTGCATGATTTCCCAGCCTCGCATAACCTTGTGAGATCCTCTGTAATTCTTCATTTTTTGGATGCTGAACCACTTTTGGGAGAATTTGCCTCATTTCATTGGCCACCCGGTGAATTACATGATGGATAGTGGAACGGGGCATTGAAAACGCACGAGACACAACACGGTAGGATGTGCCACAAGCCAGCCAAAACAAGAATACTGCTATTTCAATGCTTGACCCCCAGCCATGAGTGCTCTCGTGGTGGACCAGCTGATGAAGTACCTTCAGGGATTCTCTTTTGAGCCGGAAGTCAGGCCTGGTGTCTTGTGTCTCGTCAAAATAGACCTGCAGTAGAGGTACACTGACATTCAGGGTGCAGTATTTATTTGGTCTTTCTCCCTACAAGAAAAACATATGAAAAAATGTCTGTGTCTTTAAAATGCTCTATAGAATGTCTGTTGTTGTCATTAATATATGGTAAGTGGAGGTGATAAAATGGATAAGGAGTGCAGAAACGGGGAGGTATACTGAACCTATGAATATGCAAGTTTATTTTAAATTAATGAATTACTTCAGTATTATTAGTGTAATGATTTACTGTACAGAGTTGCATAAATTGCTAGTGAATCTGCATTTACGTGTATATTTATTAAATAATTATGTATATCTGTTTTGTTTGGTTAATGCTGGTTGTGTGGTGTATGTAGTTTTTAATTTGATGTATGCAATAATGTGTATGCCCTATCTAAATATTCAAAACAAATAAAATGGTATAATAATAATAATAATAATGATGATGATGATGATGATGATACTTTTAGTGGCAGATAGCTGTATAATGAACCTTGTAAGGTGTGGAGACCCCCTCAGAGTGTTTAGAGGAAAGTTAACCTCAGAGAAATTTTGTAAATCTTACCTGTTCAAGAGCAGCAAGTAGCGCTCGTCTTCTTAAATTTCGTCATCTGACCACAGCGCGTCGAAACTCCTGTCTATTCCGCTGTTCCTCGAGAGCAAACACGATTAAAATCGCAGTAAAAACCGCTAGAGCAGGGTCCATGGTGGTAAAACGCTGAGGCGATTTTGACAGCTGAGGTAAGTAAACACCGGTCGCGTGCAGTGGGTGGGAACCAGCGGCGACGTCATAGCTGTCTAACTAGAGCGTCTCATTTATCTGTCTTATAAGGATAGATGACGGTTGGAACGCTGCCTACTTAGACAGATGCCTATGTAGACAGCGGCTACTTAGAGAGCTCACTAGGTTTTGGGACACACCCAACGTGTCATTTCTGCCGAGCAGAATTTCATGACACGCTGTGTCAAATGCAGCAGTACGGTCCAAAAAACATGCATGTGTAACAAACAGTACTGAGTCAGTTGCCATCAGTAAATCATTTGTAACTCCAACCAGTGCTGTTTCAGTGCTGTGATTTGGCTCTGAACCCAAACTGCTCAAATCAAAATCTTCAGGGTTAAGTCCTGCCTTCTTAAGAGCTGGAGTGATTCTAGTTCATTTTAAGTGAGATGGAACCAAACCAGACCTAAAAGAGGCATTGATGACTTTATTTATAAAATGGCAAAAAGATGGAAGACATGCTTTCAGCAGAGGAGTGGCTATAGGATCCAAGAGACAGGTAGAAGATCTGGATACTGAAGTAGAGAAATCACTTTTGACAGGAGAAGACAATAAGAGTAGGATATCAATAGAGCTAGAGGACTACTTGAGTTTTAAATGGATGTTGTCACTCTTTTCATTAAAAAACATGGGCTAACGAGAGGGCTAATTAGAAGCTATTAGCAGGCCGCAACATCTCATTGACAGTGGAGAAAAGCACTCTAACATTTCCCTGGCAACTGCTGATGGCAATGGTATCAAAGTTTTTAGACCCTCCTTATAGCAAAGGACATGATCTTTATAAACAAGTCCATGTACCATCAAACCAGTTTTCCTAACAAGATGTTCTGGTTGACACCCTGCAATTTTCATACGCTGCAGCTTAGTGGAAAGCCAAGAGGCTTGATGAGAAAATGTTACAGCTCGTGTTCTGGGAAGGGCATACTGGTTTAGGGTCACTGACACAGTGCCAACATAATAAGTGCCCAGGGCCTCAGCAAATGACACAACATCCTAAGGGAGGAAAAACTGATCAAGCTGGTTCATTAGAGTAGGAGGACTAGCATTTAGTAATTTGTTTTCTGAAGGTTACGCTATGAGACGTCCGACATCTTTGTGCGTGACGAGAAATGAATAAATTTTATGTTCAGAGACATAAAAAGGTACAAATCAAAGCCAAATCTGAACCACGTAAGTACAATGTCAATGACACCAGTCAAGTTTTCAAGTCTTCACAGCAGAATTTCATGACACACTGTGTCAAGTGCAGTAGTAAAGTCCAAAAAAACAAGTATGTTTAACAACCAGTCAGCTGCCGTCAGTAAATCATTTGTAACCCTAACTAGTGCAGTTTCCCTGCTGTGATTGGCTCTGAACCCAAATGGAAACTGCTCAGATAGATAATTTAAGCAACTTGCTAAAGAAAGGAAGGTTTGAAATGGGTTGGTTGTTCATAAGATCTTCAGGGTCTAGTCCTGAGCTGGATTTTAAGTTGGATGGAACCAAACCAGACCTAATATAGGCATTGATGACTATATTTATAAGAGGGCAAAGAGAGAAAAGACATGGTTTTAACAGAGGGGTGGCCATGGGATCCAAGAGACAGGTAGAAGGTCTGGATGCCTTAGTAGAGAAAGTAAAGAAATTTTGACACTGTTGACTGAAGACAGGGCTAGGAGAAGCTATTAGCAGGCTGCAGCAGTTCATTGACATTGGAGAAAGGCACTCTAGCATTTTTTTGGCAACTGCTAATTGCAGTGGTATATAAGTTATAAGGCCTTCTTATAGCAAAGGCCATGATCTTTGTAAACAAGTCCATGTACCGTCAAACCAGTTTTCCTAATAAGATGCTCTGGTTGACGCCCTGCCGCTTTCATACGCTGCAGCTCAGTGGTAAACCAAGAGGCAGCTTGTGTTCTGAGAAGATCGTACTGGTTTAGGGTTACTGACACAAGGACATTGAAGAGTACAGAAGACTGAACAAAGTTCAGACAATTTAGCGATAAAAACGGATGAAAATTTAGGTGAACGGTACACCAAAAGAATGAACAGAGGCATTGACCTGATCACTTTTAAGGCAAGACTCCCAAACTGTGTTACTTGATGAATGGGAACAGTTTTTACCCTGAGCAATACAGAACAACCAATCCACCCCCATGGCCAGTAACACATGGTTTGTCAATAAATTGATAAGCTGGAGGTATAGCCTTATTAAGTGTAAAAAGTTATTGTACTGTTGCCATGTTTCAGTCAAAAGCATAATGTCAAGATTATGGTCCACTATAACATCAGAGATAAACATCTTTATTGTTGAAAGAACAAGCACTGAGTAAGGCAAATTTAGCGTTAATCTGTGATGTGAAATCCTATTCCCAAAAAGATGCATCTGCTTAGCTGCAGAAGTACAGCAGCAGAGCAGGTAGCCATGAAGCAAGATGCAGGCACTTAGGTGCTATAATTACAGCCTCAGACAAGCTCTTATTCCTTGACAATCCCCAGGAGTCCATTGAAGGCTAAGGTAGCTAGCAACAAGTTTTGAAATACATTCTGACATTTGTAAAGATAGCCAGATACCACACTGGCCTGCTAAACACAAAACCGCTCCTACCGAATGTCAGTATAAAGTGGTTATCAAGACAGAAACAGGCAACCAATGAAGGCTAAGGTAGCAAGCAACAGGTTTTTGAAGTACATTCTGACATGCCCATTTGTAAACACAGCCAGATACCACAATAGCCTGTTAACCATGAAACTATTCCTACAGAATGTCAGATAAAGTAGTTATCAAGACAGAAATAGGGAGCCATAAACACAGCAACACGAGAATGTGGAGACTTCGAATGAAGCTAGGTGAGCACTGAGCAGAGTGAGGCAGCAAAGTTTTGTTATAGGCCGGTAACCAATGAGCACATCAAGAGTGAAGTACTAATCAAGTTCAGGCAGTGAGTAGTCCACTAGTGGGCTGATTTAAAGTGACGGGGTATTTTACACACTGGGGGTAACCATGATGCGCTGCAAGAAGTGCTCTTTGTTGAACACACAGGGAGGTAGGGCATATACAGAACACACTTCACCCTGACTGTGACTCCCTCTCACCCACAGTCCTTGACACTAAATAACATAAATAACATGTACCCATGACTTAAATAGACAATAGCAGTCGTGAAAGCAAGCATATAATAAAGACTAGGGATGCATCAATACCATTTTTTTCAGACTGAGTACGAGTACAAATTTTTTTGTGTCACTGATACCCAGTCCAAGACCATACTGAGTAACCTAACTAGTTATTAATAACTAATAGTTATTAATGTAAATAAGTGCAATTTTAACAGTTTAATAATCAAATTTAGCTGATTTTAAATGTTGTGCATTAGCTAGCTATTCTACATTAGTTACCCTAGATTTAGTAGCACTGCAGTGGAGAAGAGTGGGTTTTGTTTCACATCAGAAAAGTGCTTCTTTACAGCTTTGCTCCTCACCTGTGTTTTTCAACATCAGTCTTTGTAGCTCAGTGACAACAGGAATCACAATCAAGGCTAACACAGCCGAGGACATCAGTTGTGGAATTTTACTTCTTCTCTGAGCCTTTAGTTGAGCTGTAGTTGATTATCAGACACCCAGTGTTTGGTGACTCACAGTAAGTTCGAATAGGCTTTGAAAACACTTGGTCCATGTTACATTAAGGGAACCTCTACAGAAAGCACAGCTTTGTCCATGGACAACTTGAAATAAAGCTGTTTCATTCTAAACAGTGTGCCACATGCTGAGCTGAAACACTGAGTAACTGATACAGCAGCTCTGCTAACACTGAGCACTGACACTAAACACTGGTGGTGATGTACATGGTAGGACAGTACAGGGTCTCTACAGCCAATTTTACGAAACAAATCACCATGTTAACCTTTATATTTCACTATTCTATTCAAACAGTGAAGTCACATATACAGCGTTTGGCAGCAAACATTGACTCTTTTGTCTCCATTTAGCTAGCCTCCGTTTCTACACATGTACTGGGGAAGCGGTTGTGACTGTGTTTAAAACAAGCTAAAATCACACAATGTATTCCTGGTGGGACTTCACCAAGGTGGAATATTTAAAGTGACTGACAGGTTTGCATTCAACTGTCACAGTAACTCTTTTCTGTGTGAGCAGAGCCTCCTTCACTGCGTTCGTTTAGTAGTATGGTAGCTGCAAACAGCTTACGTTACATGATATCAGCCAGTATCAGAAAGCTAGTATTGGTGAATATGATAGCAGTAGGGCTGGACAATAAAACGATAACAATAATAATCGCGATATAGCTTTCCTCTATAGAGCTATAAGAAATGTTTGATACATTTTCAATATAATAGACCATTCTTACTTCCACATTCTAGAGACAGCCTTGGTGGTGTTTTCTACTGCAAGGAAAGTGACACTATTCTGCTGTCGCCAGGAGAGGGCACATTTTTCGTACAGTTTAGCACTGTTATTGGCCCCTTGTTTAGCATTTGTAACAGGATAGCCTAGCAGCCATCACCTGACAGCTAAAAATAATCTGTTTTCTTTCTTAAATTATTACAAAAATTGCGTCCATGCTTTTCCAACTGGTAAAAAACAGCTCACCAGACACTTTCTCCCACTCTCCCCTGACAGATTTTTGAAATGTTCCATTGTTATGAAAAAAAAACGGATATGGTTGATGATTTTAGAAAGTTCTTACCTAACCCTATACTTACAGTCATAACAGACTCTACAGTTCAGCTGGTGGATAGTTATAAATATCTTGTCACATTTATAGATAAGAAAATATTTGTTTTGAATCAATGCAGATTTTGTTTGTAAGAAAGTCCAGCAGTGCCATTTCTTCTTGAGGAATATAAACTCTTTTAAAGTTTGTTCTTACATGTTGATTCTGTTTTATCAAAGTTATATGGAATCTGTTTTAACCTTTTGTTTTGTGGCTTGGTATGGCAGCCTTAACTTGACTTAAAATTACTAAAAATAGACTGAAAACAACCTTGCCAAGGTGGCAGGTAAAATCATTGGAGTACAACAGGCCCAGCTTTCAGATGTATATAACAGGCAGGTTCTGGAGAAAGCTAGTGCCATCTTGGTCCAGGTGACCACTTGCTACCAGAGTTTGGACTACTTCCACCA